AAATTTGCAGAGGCATGAATACGCCAGTAAGACAAACCCTTGGATTTGTAATAATGTGGCAAACTTGCGCACCTTTCTCTGGCCCTCAGTCTGTAAAGAACTAATTGGCTATTCTACTGAACTTACACTTGCAAAAATAAGATAACACAATTTACCAGGCAGATAAATGCACTTAACTGAACCTTCTGTTAAAAAGTGAAATAAAAAGGAGAATTCTAACTGACCACAACGTACAACATGTTTGCTTTTGCAAGTTGCAAAATAGAGATAGCTTATAATGTAATTGAAAAGACTGAAAAAGCCAAGCAATCTGGTGGCGAAAAGAAGACATTTGGCCTGCAATATCAGGCATGCGATAAAGCCGCAAAAGAAGTAAGGAGGAGTATGAACATGACGTACAATATGACTCGCATTTGCAAAGTGCAAAACAAATGCGAAAATAGTGACAATTGTGTAAGAAATCCAACGAGAAATCGCTAACATTGCATTGCAAATAGTCATGCGATGTTCTCAGCATGCGCAAAATCAAGTCAATCTTGGATCAAGTTATAGGGAGGTAAAGTGTCTTGAAAACCTTGCTCATGACGTACATGTTTACCTTTTTTGGTCCAGATAGTGGTAATAAAGGATGGATCTCAGTTACCGCTAAGGTAGAAGAGTAACCTCGCTCAAGGCAGGTGAATTAATGAAGAATCTGGCTTCCGGTTAACGAATTCGACAATAAGTTGAAGAAAGCACAGAAGAATACATTCGTTGTGTTTACAAAATCATAATAAATATTCAAAAAATAATCTCCACGCTGGAGAAGGGTTCAATGTGATGATGCGTACTACTCTCTACGGCTCAGCATGAATATATAACAATGTTGGCAAGAAGTGGACGAAGGGCATGACACTTCGAAAAGGACAGAAATCAGTTTTTCAAAACGTGAACTTGACATCACATCATCTCAACCTGGAACGCTTAAGACTTCTTGATGTACACAATCGCTTTGCATGAAGCGAAACCAATGGCGTGCGAAATAACGCAACTTGACCTTTGGTAAAGAAAAGCGTCGCATCGAGCGATTTTACTCGACTTTCGTTCTATCTGAAAAGGGGAAAGAGTGATCTTGTCTGAAGATCTGAAGTTTCTCAAACGCACGTATACTAATCTCCGAAACAAATCAGGTAGAAGACTCTAAACCCAAAATCTTCGTTGTGACAATTCTGGAACTTTATGGAAAGAGCGTGCGTTTCCCTCAAGGACGTTCATTCCTTCAGAGCTTGGTTACTTTATCTCAGGAAAGGGAAAACCAAGCATTATCAATCACACAAAGATATCACTCAATTCCTAGCCATGATCCGAGTACTATCCAGCTCAAAGTGAGAGTCTCGACGAAGATAGACAAAGCTAATTGCTGGACCATATACTCGCTGGAGACCTGTTTACAGAATTACGACGAATATGTTGTCATACAGAGTGGATATCTCTTCAACTTCACAATTAAAAAGCGTGCAGATGTCTATGTACGTTTTTCATTCAAAAAATGGCCTCTCCGCTACACGCACGGCGACATCATTGAAGAACAGAAGCAGAAGGGAATTATAGAAGAAGAACCAAAGAACCGCCAACAACAAGACACTTTATATCTCTCATCTACCAATGATTACCCCAGCAACAAGCAGGAGTTGAGGGTGGTGTCCCCGCTGTTTGCAGTACTCTTCGAATATGAACAGCTTGCAGAGATGCAGTAGTAATGCGCTGAAGCGAGAGCCTGAAGTAACAGATTGTCAGAAAGCGCTGGAGAACATTAGCGTAAGCGAAGGGAAAAGGGAGAACAACGAAGTCATAAGAGCGGCTCTTTGTGTGCAACAGTAATGAATTAGCGCGATAGATGCTTAGGCATACCTGGTAATATTTGGCTCCGCACTTCTTCTCGTGAATTCCCGACATCCTAAATTCCATTTCCTAAAAAGATTAAACAGAAGGCGTGAGCGTATGAGTATGTGATCCAGCTAAAGCCTCTCTCGTG